TATTGATGGTGGAGGTGGCGGTCGAGTCGGAGGGGGTATGTTGATGTTGGGTCCGGGGAGTCAAACTGCCAGTCCATAAATGGAACTGCCCCACAACCCCTGTGACATGGGATCGTGGCCCAGGGAACGCGAGGCAGTTGCCCCCCGGACCGTTGGAGATGCTCTTAGTTTCACTCCCAGAGTCCCAAGTCGCTTTTTTATTATTATTTTTTGATATTTATTGTAAAATATCATTCTCAAGTCACTTTTTTCATTTTTTCATATTTGTTGTAAAATATCAGTCCCAAGCTCAGAAATCAGCAGTCTATTTCTGCTGATTTCTGACACTTTTTTCTTAGGGATTAATAAACGTACCCCCCTTTTCTGCTATCCACACCCGGTTTTTCACACCTGGTTTTCTGCTTCTACACCCGGTTTTTCACACCTGGTTTTCTGCTTCTACACCCAGCTTTTCCCAGCACTTGAAATTCATTTTTTGGAAAGGGCCTTAATAAAAAAACGCGGTTTTTCCGCGTTTTGACGCGGTTTTAACGCGCCGCAGCACACGCGGTTTCCGCGTTTAGACGCGGTTTTATTAATTAATTTTTTACCGCTTTTTTTTCGAGTTTTTTTGAATTTTTAAAATTGTTTCCTATGTTTTAAAGCGTGTAGAATTTAATGGTAAAAACCATTTTTCATAAAAATGAGTTTTGATTATTAATTTTTTTTTTCCACTTATTTTTCAATTAAATGTTTACATACATGTTTCTACCTCATTTTTTATGCTTTTTTGAAATTTTAAATTTATTTCCTTGGTTTCAATGTGTGTAGAATTTAATGGTGTAATCCAAATTTTTCAAAACTCAATGGTTCATTTTTAATACTGAAATTAGACACATTTTTTCACTTAAATTTCTACAGGTTAATTTTCATTCTTTTTTGACATTTTAAATTTTTTTCCTACACTTTAAGACATGGTTAAAATGATGGTAAAGCTCATTTTGGATCAAAATGAAAACTATATCTTGAATACTGCATTTGACATGTTTTTTTTATTTAATTCTCCACTTTTTCACTTGATTGTTTGCATTAATTTTTTTACCTTACTTTTTATGCTTTTTTGAAATTTTAAATTTGTTTCCTACATTTAAAAGTGTTTAGAATTATTATGATTGAAGCTTTTATTTTCAGGCAAATTGGAATTCACCATTAAGTTCTACACATTTCTGAATGTAGGAAATAAATTTAAAATTTCAAAAAATGATCAAAATTAAGCTGGTAAAAATCAATTTAAAAAACATGAAAAAAAACCTGTCCAACACAGTATTCAATAACAACCTTTTATTTTTATGTAAAATGGTTGTTACCATCATTTTATACATGTCTTGAAGTGTAGGAAAAAAATTCAAAATGTCAAAAAAGAATCAAAATTAACCTGTAGAAATTTAAGTGAAAAAATGTGTCTAATTTCAGTATTAAAAATGAACCATTGAGTTTTGAAAAATTTGGATTACACCATTAAATTCTACACACATTGAAACCTAGGAAATAAATTTAAAATTTCAAAAAAGCATAAAAAAATGAGGTAGAAACATGTATGTAAACATTTAATTGAAAAATAAGTGGAAAAAAAAAATTAATAATCAAAACTCATTTTTATGAAAAATGGTTTTTACCATTAAATTCTACACGCTTTAAAACATAGGAAACAATTTTAAAAATTCAAAAAAACTCGAAAAATAAGCGGTAAAAAATTAATTAATAAAACCGCGTCTAAACGCGGAAACCGCGTGTGCTGCGGCGCGTTAAAACCGCGTCAAAACGCGGAAAAACCGCGTTTTTTTATTAAGGCCCTTTTGGAAATTCTGAATATTCTAAAAATCTTCTAAAATTGAGCGTTCTTTTTGGGTATATAAAAAATCCTCAAAAGAGAACTTCAATTTTTTTTATTTTTCTCACCCATTTTTTCCCAATTTTTTTTGACCCTATCAACTCTTGAAAACTTGAATTAAAGCCAAAACTTAATATTAATTGTCAATTTTTTAATTTTTCTTCTCCATACAGATGGTACCATTCAAGATATTCCTTATTTTGTCCATTTGCTTATAGCTCAAAACCAACAACATTGGAATTTCCAAAATGAAATCAAATTTGCTCCTTTATAGATTTCCCAAATATTGGGAAATATCAATGATAAATTTAAATGTACTTTGAATTCTCAAAAACTAATAGGCAGAAAAAAAACTTGATGAATCAGATAAAATAAAATTAAAATTAAAATTTCTCTTTTGAGGATTTTTTATATACCCAAAAAGAATGATCAATTTTGGAAGATTTTTAGCATATTCAGAATTGCCAAAAAATGAATTATGTTAGTATTCATGTATTGTAGCTCTCTTTTTTTTCTCAAACTCTTTATTAGCATATTTTCTTATTCATGCTTGTATCTTTCTGTGCTCTCACCAGTCCAGATTAGAATAGCTTTCTACTGTTTTTACCTCATTTGTAGCATATTTTCTTTACTATTTATAGTCTAAGTTTGTTCATCCCAAAATACAAACTCATCAAGTCTTTCCCTCTTTGACTCTTTCACTCATCCATTAACAAAATAAAAAGGCTGGGGAAAACCAGGTGTAGAAGCAGAAAACCAGGTGTGAAAAACCGGGTGTGGATAGCGGAAAAGGGGGGTACGTTTATTAATCCCCTTTTTCTTTTATTTAATTTGTGAACATCTTGATTCAGTTGTTTTCATCATTTCATTCAGATTAATTCTATGTTGAATTGAAGTCCAAAAATCAAAAATGATATATATTTACCAAAATTCACTGAAACAAAAAAACCATGGCAATACAAATACAAATTGCTTGGAATGATGGTAAACTGCATTCTGCTGCTGACCAAGATTCAATCCAAATTGGTTGATTTCCAAATTTTTTCAGCTGATGATCAATGTGAGCCTGAGCCTTCCTTGAGTCTGAGGGGAACCCCTCCCAGCCCCAAGACTGTACAGCGTTGAGGCTAGGAGGCTAGGGTGTCCTCCCAGCCAGGTTGACTGGAAGTAAAGCCTTCTGGTCAGCTGTGTACCTCTTGTTGACTGGAAGGGTTTCCTTCCGGTTGACAAGGATGTACCTTGTTGATCAGGAGGAAACCCTTCTGATCAATGAGGCACATTGCCTCTTTGACCGGAAGGGTTTTGAAATAGAATAAAATAAAAAATTTAATGCCAAACTCAGAGTAAAAGTTAGGGGTTTTGCGCTAGGCTCAGGCTTTAACCCTGAGCTCCAGGGTGTAGCGTGATCCCCCTCTCTTTTCCTCTATGTTCCAGGAAGACATCCTTCATCTGCCCAGTAAGCCCACAGAGCACCCTCCTCCTTGTGCTTGCAGGGCCCCTATTGCCGGGGGTTAATGAGGCTCCAAAAAAAAGGCTATCTCCCAAGACCCTCATGCCCAACTTGAAAACCCTTGGAAGCAAGGGGGCCAAGCAGGTAGGCAAACCCTACCATTTCCCAGAACTCGTGCAGAGATGGATTGGATTTGATGCCCAAGGGGGCTTCATGTGCTCATCATCAGGCAAGTTGAAGAATGAATTTGGTGCAGTCGTAAATATACCTTTACATTCTGGTCAAGCTCTAGCCTCTACACCACAGGTTCACTTACTTAGCTGTCCTGGGGACATCACACAAAAATAGGTCCCAGATGAGTTCTGAATCCATTTAAATCAGAGATCCATCATCACAAAAGCCTCATTGAAGCCTCACAATGAGGCTTTTTTGATGTCTTTAGGACCTGGGACGGCCTTGAGACAGTTCCATCCCATGGCTGGATCTGAAATCCCCAATTGTACCAGCAGTGTAGTGGAGAAGTAATCGGCAAGTTAATCTGAATGTCGCAGTTGGTGGGATTTGTCATTGATAACTTTATCCTGCCTCCTGTGGGGTTTACTGGCCACACCTCCACCTCAAACATTGTGCAAATTCAGAGTTTGATTATTGTGGTAGTGGTACTGCAAAGGGACCCTGTGGTGGGACGCCCCACTGCAGACTCAGACTCAGAGTCAGAGGGACATTTGTCAACACTAGAAAAAGCTTTGTGCTGCATTATACACGTGCGCAATAACATCACATACCACCAGGCAATGTTACCGTGCATGTGTACAATCCAATCCAATACTTCAAGTTCCCGCAATATCATCATATGCCACCAAGCAAATAATCATGCAAGCGTACAATGCGACACAATACTGTTTCTGTAAGGACTGGGAATGTCCTTCACTGGTTCCAGTAGCTTGAGGCGTAGACACGGACAATTTTCTAGAACCAGAGGCTGAATTGCAGTTGACTAGACAGTTGAGAGAGAACTCTCTGTAATTACAAGCTCTGAATCTGATAAGAAAGAAAATGAAGAAGAAATATAAGAATCAGAGAAAGGGACCTTTACCTAGACAGTTGAGAGAGAACTCTGCTGTCTAGGTAACTGAAAAGATAAAAATAATAAATACACGCTGATGGCTTATGTCATCATTTGTGACATAGTCTTGTGAAACCCAATAGAGGGGGAAGTTTCACAGTTTCTAGCTTGCAAGTTGGTAGTTACAAGTTAGTGCAAGGGAAGAAAGCAAACATTTTAATCCTGTAGAGGTGGGGGAAAGCTTCCCCAGCCGTTGGGCAACCAGACCCAGGCAGATAAGCCGGAGGAAGAGTTTGGGGCCGGGCTAGCAGCTCGCAGCACCGCCGCTCCATGGACCCTGGCAATAGCTGGCAATAGCTTCCATAGTTTCAGTACATGGCCACATTAGATGCCACTCGGGTTTCTGGAGGGTCTTGACAAGTTGGGACTGTATGGTACATTTGCATGCTATGCAATCGTATGTAATTGTAATTTTTTTTCCAGAACAGGCACGGAAGGACTCCCTTGAACTGACCAAAAGCAGACGCATCTCGGATCCCAAATCTTGCCTATATGTCGGGAGTAAAACTTGCCACAACTTGCAATCAAAGCCCCGTCCAAACTATCTGCCTCTGCAATTCCCCTACATCGATATATACCCACAAGAACATTTACCCAAGACAAGTTGCACAGCAGCATCATGAATCTCTCTAGTCTGTTGGGAATCTCAATGGTGCTCTTTTCACTCCAGCTTCAGATGGCTATGGTCGAATCCATGGGATGTGGAAACGCGGGTAACGACTTCAAATACGCTGGCTGCGCAAAACACTTGAAAAAGGAAGCTTTTCCGGGAGGTGACCCTCGGTATTGGTCTTGGATGATGGATGGTAGGTTTTGTACGCTACAATCAGAATGCTTTATCAAGACGAGTGTGTTTATGAATTGTCTTTTACTTAGTAATCCCTCCCCCTTGGAAGACCGACCACTATGATTGCAAAGGAACCAATTATCCATATGAAGTATGCTGTAGCATTCACGTGGTAAGTGACCGAACATTATTCACGAACTGTGTGACTGTTTACCCGATAATAACCCACTAATTTTGAATCGATCAATCATCAAATATCTAGGAAAATATCAAAAATGCACGTGACACCCGGCTCGCTTACCTCTGCCGCAAGCCAAATGGTGCAAACCTACAGCTCTAGTCAGCATTGCAACGCACGTCCCACAAAAGAAGTTTCCCCTTTTCACCTCATTATGTTTGTGTTTGTTCCCACCCCTCATTTTTGATCATCAAAATGATCAAAGAGTGCAAAATTTGAAAGAAAAAAAAATGAAATTTGTAAGCTTCAGAAAACTTGACCCATCATGTAGGATAACTTTCCAGTGGCCTTGAACAGGGACACCCAAGCTTGACTTTTTTTGAAGGAGGGGGGGGGGGTATATAACTGAACTCTTGACCAGCAGGCTTGCTTCAGCAAGCCTGCTGGTCAAGTACAATCTGCGGCCAGAGGGAATTTTGTACATTTTGAGCTTACCAAATTTCCCATGTGGGAGAGCCCAAGATGGTCTCTGCCTTACAGAAGTTGCACTTTGTGCAAGGCCCAACTTAACCAGAGGGTTTCTGCAGGAAGTTTTGGGGTATGGTTAGCACCAACAAATTCCTTGATGTATGTGACATCCTAGGTTGTTTGAATTTTTTAAGTGAGGGGGATAGAATAGTGTTAGTGCATAATACCACCAACAATACATATTGTTCCATCCAATCTTAGCAGTATGGTACTAACACTAATGGTTGGTGTTGCGGCCACAAAAGTGCTGCCACTACAATGGGACACAGCTTTGGTTAGCAGAATTTTGGTGATATGCCCCCCCATAGTGGCATAGCATAGTTGAAAGCCAAAGTACTTGTGCTCAAAAATTGCACCACTACACTAACACTTTTTGGAAAAAAAAATCCTAGTGTATCGTAGCTGCCCATCACTACTTTAGGAGATGTGCTTCTGTCCTAATCAATGTTATTGATGCTTGATTTTATGGGTCCTATTCAGTAACCACATCCGCAGTGGGTATGGGCCAAGGAACATCCCTCTGGAGCAGATGTCCAGTCCATTTAATTGGACTTGACCTGTCTAAGCAAGGGTTTCCTGAGTGGCTAGAGATTATCACATGGGCAGGAAAGATAAAGTTCTTGCAGGGAGATATTTATTTAGTCTGCTATAAGCAAGCCATCCCATGTATAGATTCCCCCCTTTCTTTATAGAGGGAGTTGTTGAGTTACACAAAAATCAGTTCAAGCTGCAGATCATTTGATTGATAGGTGCACATCAAAACACACCAACTTTTTCTGTTGTTACTGTAATCATAATCAAACTCACTCAGTAACCAACTGATGATCTTTTGGCTTGGGTTTGTATTATGCAAATCTGCAAGATCATAAGATATGTCAATAATAAGTAGGGAAAAAAGAAAAAAAGTTGCCCCTCCACAAAAATATGTCATGAGCATGTATTGATAGAGTGAACACATGCATAACAAGATTATGTGCTGCATAAGATGATAAACCAAGGATCTATCTAGACATTTTTTTCTTCAAGTGTGTAAGAATAGCTTGGCCCCTCTTGTCTTAATCTTTTTTGTTCATTCAATTGTATATTACCTTTTCATTATGTAAAAAAAATAGTTAATTCATCTTTGTATAAAATAAGTAACATCTGATCAGAGAAGAAGAAGCAAAAAAAGAGGTGTAATTATGAAAAGAGATCTATTTAAGTGAACACCCCCTCCCAGTCCACTCTCTACCATCCCCCACATTCTCAAGATCCAATGTAATACACACACATATATATATATATATGAGAGAAAAAAATGTAATGTCTGTATATATTTGTGTATGTAGACAATAGGGTTGAATAAAAGAGACAAAGAAAGAGAGAGAGAGAAAAGGAAGAAAGAGACGATGGACTAGAAGACGAAGGAAAGACGACGAGACGGGTGAAAAAGAAAAAAACTCGAGACATCATGAGAGAGAGAAAAAGTTACGAGCAAACGAGTTGAGAGGAGGTGAAAAAAAAGTGGGAGAGAGAAGAGAAGGCAAGGAAATATAGTACGGATGATCAACCCAATTGATCTTCGATGGCTTGGTTGACGAAGGCCTTCTTATCTCCCAACTCGGTCGCATACATAGCTTCCAATTCCTGACGAACTCCTTTTTTAGTGATGGTGTTAAGATCGGCTCTAGCCAAGACTATTTCGGGTAGGGGTGGAAGAAGATACAAAATCGAATAGAATCGTTAATTTTTTGTATGTGTATTTTCCATTGGAAAAAAAGGAGGGGAGAAGAGAAACTGACCAGCTTGAATATCCGCAATGATCTGTTCATCCGAAGGTAACCCGCCTCGGTTCGGAATCGGGAAGCCGGCGCCACTGCCTCTACGACTCCCATTATCGCCCAACTGACCCTGCATAAAGCCGGGCACGGGTCCATACATGCTACCCATGCCCATGGGCATCATGCCGTTATTAGGGCCCATGAAGCTATTCGCCATGCCTCCGCCCATCATCGCTTGGGGCCCTCCGAAGGAGTGCACCGACATCGCCCGCCCAGCCATCGGGTCCATGTAACCCCCATTGCCTGGCGGCATCAACATCACACTACCTCCTCCTCCTTGGTAGCCTGACAACAGCGATCGTGCGTCGTGGTTTTGTTCGTTCAATCCCGGCGAGTGCGTTCGACTGTACGGCATCATCACCGGGGGATCATAGCTCGTCTCTTGGCCATATAAGGATGCCTCTTTGGCCGAAGCATTACGCTTATCGGCGATGATTGAGCCAATGGACTGATTAGATCCCTAGAAATGTAACCAAACGGGAGAGGTGTTTTTGAGTAAAACGGCAAAACGAGATGAAATCTAAGAAAAGAAAAACTAACCCTCTCCCATAACTCATTTTCATACTCTTGCCAAGTTTTCAAGGGAATCGAACTAGGATCGAATTTGCCTTCATCATGTATAACCAACTTCTTACCAGCCTCACCAAGAACGACACGAGTATTACCCCAACTGAAGTCGTCCATCTTCCAGAAAGAGTAGATCGGGATCAAGAAGGAGAAGATCGGGATCGCCAAGAGATAGAAGAACATCCATCCAATGTGTTCAAACTTTCGATGGAAGACAAAGATCAAGGCTTGTAATCCGTATATCGCGGCGATCATGATGATCGACGTTGTCGGTACTAATCCGGATTTTGAGCCAACCAAGTACAAGAGCTATACACAGTCAACAGAAAAAGAAAAATTTAATAACCCAATCTTTTTCCTTAGCTTTGCAATGGCGTGGATCAACTTACATAAGCCAGATAAGCGACGGTAACGGGCTGAATTAGGGTAGAAAAGAGATCGATGAAGACGACAAATCTCATTGAGAAGCAACAGAAACCGCAGAGACGTTCGATCATCAAGAGTTCAGCCAAATTATGGATCGTCGAGTTAATCCACCTACGCCGTTGCGAAAGCAAAATCTTCCATTCATCCGGGGCGATCGTCTTGGCGAATGCATCTTGGATGAAGGTCGTCTTGAAGGTCGGGAAGGTTTTCAACAAAAGCGTCGTCAAGTATCGATCTTCTCCCAAATGTAAGAGATTCTTCACGTGCCAATGATCATTCCATCGCATACAACAAAGAGCAATTTCCGCTTGTCGTCATACTTCAATTGAGTGACTGAATCGATAGCCCTTCTTAAAGATTCTTCACCTTCAGTATAACAAGGGATCTGGATGATCACAAACTTCTCGTGGTCTTCCGGTTGACGAGCCTTTCCGAATTGCAGGGCTGCCAAAAACTTGAACCCGATAATCGAGACCATCATGATTGAAAAGATCAAGAGGATGTATTGCGCAAATTGACATTGAGCTGATTGTCGATTGTCCACTTTGCCGGCGAAGAAAAGGTTTCTCAGGCAGATCCGTTGGGCTTGCTTTACATTCCGATCCATGTTGAGCGCATTGAATTTGTCGGTCACATCACCACCAGCTCCTTGTTGAAAGAGTTGGACAATGTCTGGGCTCATGAACTGCGAATCAACTGACGGAGGAGATGTGCCAGTCGGAGTTCTGATTCCGGGACCCACTATGGAAAACAAGCACAAGATAAGTCAGCAGGATGATTGATGTTACTTTTCCAAAAAGGTTCTTACCTGTGATGTAGTCAGTTAAATCATATGCGCTACCGTCTAAGATAGCAATTGATTTGCGACCGTTTCGAGCCAAAGACTGAATTTCCTTTGGAGTTTTGCCCATAAACCCTCTCCGATAGCTGTACCGTAAATAATACATTTGTTCAAAGTACCAATCTGGACGAGCATCAGACGTAAAGGCTCTCTGGAAAAATAAATATAGACACGGATCAGAAAATGCAAAAATGGATTGGAGCGCGAAACAAAAAAAAAACTCACAAAGTCGTGATAAACGGAATTCGGTTCAAGACTAGTAGTATTAGCGCCACTCAAAATGATCCAATCGCTAATACCATTACCATTGCCAGAACATAGTGCGCTAACTTGGACGGGGAAGAGGTTGGTGGCATCGGTTCCGCCATAGCTTTGGACGGCTTTTGTCGGGACGACCGACGGATAATGAACGGGTGCAAAGCTTGTCAAATCGAAGACCTCACCACGGATGGCTACTAGCATGTTATTGGCATTGCTGCTGAAGGAGTGCGAGCTCAGTTCGTTGGCTGAGAACACAAATTCTTTCGGGCAGATTAAGTTGCCCATGATCGCAATCACAAACACCGCAATCCCACAACAAAACCAAATTACAATCTGTTGAGAAAACATGATCGAGATTTGAATCAGCTAAGCTGAACAACAAGTACAAGTGTAGGAGGCAAAGCACGAGACTCACGTTGATTGCCAATTTTTCTCTCCATGCTAGTCTGACATCTGGACGTTTCATGCGGCCGATCCAGGCCAGAAGGAAGTTGGGGACATAGAAAGTCAAGGCCCAAACCAACAAGAGCCACTTCTTACGCAGACTGCTTTCTCCAACGACTTCTTCGGCTACTTCTCCACGACCAGGTTGAGCGCCCTCGGTGAGTGCATCTTTCTCACTGTCGGCCGGTTTGCCTGTTGAGTCGAACATGTTACGAGAGGGCGCATAGCGGTCTGTACCCAAGTACGATTTGCTCTCGCTTTCGTGCATCGGAGAGCCATAGCCGCCCTCCGTATCTGTCATCACCGTTTTCCGATCGTCATCAAAGTAGCCTCCAATGTGTCCGGCTTGTCCTGCCGCGTGGGAAACGAGTGGTAGACCAATCTCGGAAGAATTTCCGTGCGCCCCCGCCGGATAAAAGGTTGGCGACTGGTGTGGCATACCATATGGGTCATTCCCGGCAAAAGTCTCAGCGGTCCCCTGGACGGCAGCTTTCTCTTGATACCTTCGTTGTTCATCACCATCTGCTGCGCGAAGTCGATCTTCCAACTGGCGGAATGCAGCATCATTCATGAAAATCTTGTAGTTTCCTAACATGATGTCATGATTATCCCAATCCATCATATTCTTAATTCCTTCGATCCTTTCTTGCCAAGATATTAAGCTCAGACGGACCACATCACTCGCGATCGGGTCACATTCTTTGTAACGATCCCACCACTCATTGTTTTCCAAGCTGACCATCCAGTCGTCCTTCAATCGTCTAGCCAGTTCGGGAATGTTGAAAAACTTAACTTGCTGCTTGACCAGCTTGCCGTCGAATTGATTTGAGAGTTGTGAGTCGTTTGATTTGAGACAGAAAATAAACCAAGTTTTGGTGTCTTGCATGGTTTCTAGCAGGGTAGTGAGGGATTCATTGAACTCGGAGACGACCAGCTTGCCATCGGTTTCGGCCTTAGCGTCCTTTTTAGTGACATCTTCGGTTGGATCGTCATTGGCAGACTTTTCAGGAACATCGTGTCGATTCTTTCGGCGGGTGGATGGAGCACGCATTGGTCTCTGAAGCTGCTGAGCAGCCACGATCGTCTTCTCACTCATGGGATGAGTGGTCGTGGTGAGATTAGCATCGACAAACAACTGTCGAATGAATGAATTCGTCGAGCCGTGCCCGGTGGAAGCACGGCGCGAGGCACCGAAGAGGGTTAGATAGTCAGGGGAGACCACGTCTCGATTCTGGATTAGGAAACCCTCTACCGAATAGGTCACCGGTCCAGAGTAATGTGAGCAGGTAAACGATCCGGGCCGATCGAGCCGTTCGTCACCATCCTTAAAGGTAAAGCTGGTGTTATTTCCCCAACGTCGACCCATGGCGTCCAACATTGTCTGATCAGTCTTGTTGGGTCGACGACTTTGATCATCAATTATGTGCACAAGTCCACCGGGGACGTGAGTAAGGACACGAAGGATCTCAGAATTCTCATAGAATGGAGTTTGAAGTCCGGGGAGATGAGCATCGAGGCCTTCGGTCACGTATTCCGCTTTATTTTGACAAACAGTTCGTTCAAGACCAATCCATGGACGCGCTCGTTTGCTAGATTAAAACAGAACGTATCGAGATTGTTACCATCTCCCTGGTTCAAACCCCTGGAGACATTGTTCTGAGTACCGGGCAGATCGATCAATGATATGAATGAGGTAAAGTCATCCTTGCATAGCTTCTGGTTGATAGTTTCATTGAGCCAACTGAATAAGAGGCCATAGAGCATCTTAGCCAGATCATCACGATTCTGGGAAGCGCCTTCTGAATCGAGGAAGATCGTACACCTTTCACCCGAGACCATTCGCGTTTGATAGGTCAGGGTAGACTCTAGGGTTTCAGACTTGACGCCCAAGAATGAAGCGACGACGTCTAAGAGTGGAGGATTTGCAACGGTAGCTGCCTCGGCATTCTTTCCCTTGTCGAGCACGAACTCGAGGTTGCCCAGGTGAAGGATTGCGGCAAGAAGCTGACAGGTGGAGGCGACCGATTTCTTGGAGAAGCCGATGGCTTTAAAGGCTTGTTTGAGTCTGACGAACTGCTGGGCATCGGAAGCCGCTGAAGCCTGTCCAGACTGATTACGAGCCTGTGTCAAGAACCTAAAAGGTTGGCTGGCTGAATGATCAGCGTTGTTTCGTAGAGCCTGACCAGGAAGCTGGGCGAGACCGGTGGTGGTGGGAGGTTGATCGAGAAATAGATATGCACGTTCCTCGGGGGATCCGCCGGCAGTGAGATAGTAGAAGATGTGAAAGTTACGTTCACCACTCGGGCGACTGACCACCCTGGAGCGTTGGAGGTAATACTCCAAACTCTTGAGTCCGCACAGCTTGCCGTTCTCGGTGAACTGGAGTTCGGTGTATTGACCGAAACGAGAGGCGTTTGAGTTTTCGAGTGTATGTGCGTTACCAAAGGATTCGAGGATGAATTGGGCGGCTGGGATCTGTTGAACGAGTTTGGATCCCTTTTTTCCGGGCAGGGCCGATGAAATGTCGACTATAAAACGGAGTGCGAGTCGTCTGGCTTCTGATTTTCCACTTCCGCTCTCGCCCCTAGGATGGAGATATGATTCAGATTCAGATATGTAGAGCTGTGTGAGAGGTAATAGAAGAGTGATCTGACCCACCTAGTAATAATACTTTGATCACCACCGGTTCTTCTCATGTAATAGTAGGCTTTCCCAGCGAGTGCCCAGATGTGCGGCCCTGAACCGAAGCCTTGGCCGGATTCATTCTCAACCCTCTTCCTCCTATCTTCGCTGCAGTCCCACCAGTCAGAGGCATAGGCATTGAGGGATTGATCGGAATTGACGGGTGAGTTCTTGTTGAGGGCGAGACTGATGAGACAACGAGGGGATAGCCATAGATAGGGTAGATCGGATAGGAACCTAGTCTTGAGTAGTGCGACCGTCTCGTCTGCTGATGGCTGCTGTTGACTCTTTGGGGTCGTATCCAAATTTGGCGATGATGATGATGAGGGCACGAGTTGGGTGAGATCGGTAAGGGAAGTATGCTGGTTGGTCATGATGGATGTGGTTTCTTTCTGAGATGGGATTAGATTGGTTGAGGCTGGATGGGAGAGAAGGTCATGAGCTGATTCGAGGGAAGATACAATTATTAGTCGTCAGTCGAGAAGAGCAAGAGTAAGAAGAAGAAGAACAAGGATACTAAAGAAGGGAAGGATGGATGGAGATGGGTGAGAGAAGAGAAGGATCAGCCAATTTACAGCTTACATACATCGCTGTGATGTCGGGCAAAAACCATGGCAGAAACCCACATCCTTAGCATTAAAGCCCCTCTTGAAACCCATACCCTGCTTATCTACATAATTAGGTTCGGGCAAACTTGCAAGTCTGCAGGCCGAACCAAGTGAAGAACTTCCTGTGGTGCATAAAGAAAACGACCATCTTGAGATCATTAATACGGTAAGCTAGCAGCACTCCTACATGATCAGAATGACCCCCAGATGAACTGACTTTTCGACTCTTATTTCTGATGCAGCCATGGCATTAATCAATCTGAACGAGGATACCAAAGTTGAGCTCGACAAAAATTATCATTTGCTGGAATCCACTTGATCGCTGACAACGGAATAAAATAACCATCATCCATCATGACCAAAAACGAATAGGAGCGAGTCAACCAAGTCACTGCAGCGATCAAGGTGATTGCATTCAAAACAAAACCTTCAAAACTAAATTGAACCTCAGAACTGATGTTTTCACTGGGTGAAAATTTTACACTCTTCAGACGATCCTCCATTGGACTTGGATCCCAATCGTACTGACGATCGGATTCAAGAACAGTAACCCAAAGCCATCCCTCATCAAGTCTGTCACTCCCAGATCTCTCATCACCTGATCCCCATCTACCACCATCCTCCCCTCTGTCTTGAAGCTCTACTTTTTTTTTTCTGAACTGACATTTTCTTTCATCTTGTACTCTTCAGGATCTTGAGCCCTTTGGCATGAATACTGAATGGAAACTGGTCAAGGAATATTTGTCCTTTTTTTACATCTCAAAAAAAAAAATCGAAATGAAGCCATGTAAAGACTTCTCGTATATGATCACGGAATAACAAATCCCCAAATCAAATTTAGGTCCAACCCAAAATTGAAAGAAAGAAAAGCCTAATCTCTCATATCTTTTTCACATGGACCCAGCATTCGTAGTATGGCTTTAAGAAAGGGGATGCTAGTCCGATCGTGAGTATCCATATTCTCTTTGCCTGGAGGCATCTTGCAAGGCTTTCATAATCGCCAAGCTTTCATCTAAAAGAGCACTTGGAACTCATTCCCTCAAACACAAAGTATTGGCGTGCGCGCTTTGAGGTAAGTGTGTTGATGTACCATTTTGCGCATTCTTCACCGCCTCGTGCCTGTAATCAGTCTCATTGAGGCATCACGTACCATGGTAAATTTGTGTCGCCATTCACTGCGGCTCCGAAGCTTCAGCTTTCTCCGGCCGACTTTTTCTGGCTTGGAATTACAGCCAGAGCTGTTTCCCATGCATTTGATGATTGTCGAAGTGCTAGAGGGAAAAAACAAGCTCTTGACGAAACATGTAAAAGTGTGACATCATCAGATGCACGGAAGGAACAGCATTACACTGCAGGTCTTGTCGAGGAATTGGGGAATGCAAACAGACACAGATTGTAACGGTTTGATGAACTACCGTTCTCGTCCAGTCAGGTTTCCAACCAGCCGATCTGTCACACCATGTGATCACATGAAATCAGTTTATCATTCTTTCCGATGAAGCCCGGCTTCAAGCCAGTGGCAGGGTGCGCAACATAAATACACCGTGTTTGATTGGTGTGGGTCCTAAACAATAAGCACATTGGGCGAGATTTGTGCATACACATTTGTCGCAGTCTTCCCCACCCATGAGCGCGCTTGATCAGTCTCACTGAGGCATGATGCACAAGTATCGCAATTTTTGTGCCGCCATTCACGGCAAGCTTGTCATTTCAGCTTTGCCTGGCCAAGATACATCTTTTATCACCGCCGTAGTTCCTACCAGAATGTTTGATCAAAAGTACAAAAAATACAGCTCAATGGGCTTTTTAGAATTGGGGGTGTGAGAGCAAATATTTTCTTCGAGTCTAGCTGCAGTACTAGTTTTACTGAGAATACCAATACTTCTTTGCGTTTCTGAGGTAAAGAAAATTGCCTGCCTGTTGTCAACTCATCAAGTGACCTTTCATCGATCCAAATCACTTGAATCCATTCTTAAATTTCTCAATCAGTAGCTGTAATTCTCACAATGTTAAACCGCTTGGTGGTTGTCCTACTTGTTAAGCATTTTCTGCGTCTACTTATGTATATAATGAGAGCTTTTCTGACTGATAAGGATACATTCTTGAATAGATTATTGGAAGATGCTTGACTATGGACTCCATTGGTGAAGCAAGCTCAGTTGCAAAAGAAAAAGAAGGCTGGTCTACCAGATCAGCAGAGTGGTCAGAAGCAACAAATTCAATTGATCAAAAAATAAACCATCAATCTCCAGATTATAGATCACCTTCCAAGGAAAGACCCACAGCAGAGACAGAACATGTTGCTATCTCTGTGAGTAAATGTTTCAAGATTTTTGATTGTAGTGTAAGATTCTTGGGTTGAATAAATTGTTGAATGATGAATTTATTCAGGAGGGTCAAGAAGATTCACAGCAGACCAGAGTCTTAGATCAAGAGCATGGTGGTTTGAAATTCAGAAAGAAGAATAACTCTGAAAGACCAATCATTTCTCTGGATTCCAAAGAAGAAATTAACTTCAACCAGAACCAGAAAAATCCAACCCCAGAATTTTCTCCTAGAGTTGAAACTGAAGATGGAACAGAAGGAGATTCTGCTATAGTATTACATAAAAACAATGAACTTGGTACCATTGATGATGTGGAAGAAATGGATCCTTTTCGCTCTTTTCTATTATATTTTGCAATTCTTTGGAGCATTGCTCTTCCTATTATTTTATACTTGGACTATACCAAATGATTCACAGTTTTGCTATGGGTTGATGTGTTCAATTACATGAAAAAGATTACACTTTTGTGAAATTGAAAGATCTATGTTGAATATTTATATCATGATAAGCTCAAAAGGTCATGCTATGATTTCATACACTATGAACAAAACTCACTGGGAGTTGACATGCAATATTACAAAGGCTCCAGTGTTGTAATTTTGCATGTCAACTCTTAGCATTTTAAGTTTTTCTCACGGTGATACATGGCGTCATTGTGGATTAATTCTCACAAAATGAGCCTGAGGAAAAGTGACAGTTCACTTTCTGTGTAAGAGAATCTCTAGCACTCTGGAGGGGCAATTTGATTGGATTTCCTGGGCTACAATCACATTTCACAAAGGCTGTGAGTCAGTTCCAATTTTGGATTGGCTTTGTGAGATTGGCTATCCAGGATTCCAAGAGTCCATAGCCCTCCTACAGCATACTAATCCACCCAGCTTGGCACATATAATCTACTGCAGGACTCATAAAATCTAAGCAACAAGCTTTATGATTCTTCTTGTTATCTTGCTCTGCTTATTTCAATATATATTGGATATCTTTTTTGTGTTTTTGCTTGTTGTTTTCCCCTTCTTGTGTCTTTTTTGTTTTCTTGTTTTCTTTTATTTCCTGCTTGTTTGATTTTTCTCTTGCTCTTTTCCTCTTTGTAGTATTTGTAATCATCTTTCATCTCAATTTTTTTTTGCTCTTATGGATTTTTGAATGATGTGAATTAATTTTTAAATGAAATAAAAAAGGAGGTATTCTGAGACAAATTCACAATTTATCTGAGACAGATACAGAAGCTAACCATGAAAGCAAGTCATAATTTTTTACCATCTCATACAGAGCTGAAAGTTAGTGTTGGTGCATGTGTTGGTGATGTATTGTCCATCTTCGTGGGGTCTTAATTTCAATGGAATCAGACAGAAGAAGGAAAGTTGAAGAGAGTTGTTCATGTCTGGCAGTGTGAGCCTGAGCCTCTTATGTGGCGACAGGACACAAGGAAGAAGGGGAACTTCTGGATGGACTTAAAGGAGGAAGAGAAATAAAAACAGAAGTAAAATAAATAAAGAGAGGAAATAGAAAGAAAGTAAGAAATGTATTTTTTTGATTGTTTTATATTTCAAGTTTGATGAATCTGCAGTCTTACTTTCCCCTTGTAGGATTGCTGATAAGCTGTTAAAGACTAGCCTCTTCCACAAAGTAAAATATAGAAGGTATTAGTTTGAATAGGTTCGGAACTAACCACTATTTTTTAGATCAAAGATCAAGGCTCTTTAAACGGAAATCTATTTGGTTTATGGGTTTACCACCAGGCAGTAGCAGGGTTGGTTGGATTTTTGGTGGTTCTGGTTCAAAGTGAGTCTGAAAATGAGAACTGGGGATTCTCTGAAAGGATTTTCATAAATGTATTATGAATATTTACATTTACTTGTGGTAGAGGGGAGCTGTAATCCCTGAGTATCAGATTTTAGACAAGTATGGACCGGGGTGAAGAGTGTTAAAGTATGTGAAGGAGTTGAGTAAGGTAAACGTGGTCAGTGGTTTCTAGGGTCTAGGGGTTAATTTAACTGGGAAATCCATATCTGAATTCAGATCTGGAAAGTATCTTGATAGTAAAAAGTTATGAGGATATTGAAGATTAAGATGATGGTTAAAGCAGGCTTTTGGCCAGCTATTTTGGATCTAAGGCTGACAGGCAGCAGAAGTCAAGGTACAGAAATCAGAAGGGGGCTGTGGCTATAAATTTCCCCAGCTATGTTTCCAGTTTTTTTTTCAGAGGACCATTAGCAACCCAGGCTGTCAATGTTCACCTCAAATTTCCCAATTGTGGTTCCATTACAGATGTTCCAAAAGAATTTGAATTGGTCTGGCCTCTGGGAGTAGATTGGCTTTCCTCTGGTGACCTGGAGTCATATGTCCCAATCTGACACAGTTGTCCAAACTGTAGGCTGTGAATTTGAGGGGGATCAGGTGAAATGCTTCCAAAGCTGATGGACTCAGCAGCCAAGGGAAGCTTTGCGTAAAATCACCCCTCAAAAAACATGTCACAGATGATTATGTGACCATATTCATGAGTTTCATCTAGTCTCACCCTTCTCCTTCTACCTAGGTGTCAGAGATCATCTCTCCGTAATCTAGGTAAGTGTTTTCCTTCCCACTTTTTCTTACAAAATCTTGTACTCAATTGGAAAAAAAATCACTGCTGTTTTCCCCCATCTCTTGATTGGTCCATAATGGACCTTGCAATTGACTTTCCTTGAGTTAAAATGAAATACCTACTTTGAGCCTCCCCTCTCACAGCTGATTTGTTTTGAATTCTTCTATTCAACAGTATACTATTTAAACAAATCCTCTGGTTTTTGCAGTCAACTATGAATTCAGAATTCAAATCCTGTTACATTCTGAATTTCATTAAACTGAGTCTACATCATCAGAAAAAAGCACCTCACAAGATACAAATTGGCAGAATAAATTTATCTCTTTGACTGGATTCCATTGAAATGAGATGTGTCCCCACAGTATATTTTAAGAATTAAATGATCTACTCATTGAGTGTATCTTGGTATCTATTTGAATTCCATCAATATTGAGGGAAGCTTTATGTACACATCTGTGGCAGTAAAACTCCCAATATGAAATTCAGCTTATTAGAACAAGATAAGTGGCACAATTGAAATATTTTCAAATAGATGTCAGATAAATTGTTGCAATCAATCTCCCAGTGTGAATTTGTTTAATTTAAGATTCAAGCAAAAAACTCAACATAGCAATCCTAATCTATCATATTTGTTATGAGTTGTGATGAAGTTGATTACTACAGCACAAAATATGCCGCCCCTACAGGCTACATTGTGTCCAAACATTTTGTTAACAGTGGTCAACCCCTTTTCTGGGGTCACAGCAACACTGAACAAAATTCAGCTCAAGATATTTGAGCTTGAAAGTCATAATGGCCAAAGAGACAGAAATTACCACATGGAAATCTGGTGTATTTCATCTGTGGCTTGTTGAATGCTATTAAAGAATATTGACCATTGTAAACAAATTAAACTGCATTCTATTCTAACACAAACTTGTGATGGATTAAGCTGGGCTCAGCTAACTTGGCACTTTAGTGATCAATCTGTTTCTTTCTATCAATCATGTCTTGGAACAAATTGTTGCAATCTAATCTACAAATTTTGCCTCACTTCATTCAAGTTTGTAAGCTGATACATAATGCCAAATGGATTAAAATCAATTTTCAAGGTCTCATTTCTGATGGGCTGTGCAATTCTGACGTCTTGAGATCAGTCAAAAAACACGTATACATGGATTCCAGATAACTTGTGTTTTTCAACTGTTTCCAACCAAAATTGTGTGTTGATCAAATTCTTATTAATTCTCTTTGCGCTTAGGTGCACCACATAGCTACCCTGACCCATTCTTCCGTACAAAGAAAATGGAAAATACAAAATAGCCAATGCAGTTGACTCTAGACCCGCCTGCAGCATCTGATGATCCGAACCTTGCCTCAAAATTGGTACTTTCTATTCAGATCTTAGGGCTGACCGAATCAGGGATGTACCTTCCAAAAACCAGTGGTTTATTTCAAGGATCTTTATTGCGTTCTATGTTTCAACTGACACATGGATGGTCGACGTGAAAATCGAATTCCTTACCTCGCAAGTGAAAGCAGGGCTCACTGGCTCACTTGATTCTCCATACCTTGAGACACAGTCAGAACCAAGGATTGGTGCCAACCAGTCGATTCTTAGGTACATTTCAATCTGGACTGTAGATGATAGAAATAGGCAGTTTTGTTGAGGGGTCAAAAACTGAAGTGTTCTTTGCATCGTACGAAGGGCTTCGGTCGCTTGACTGATGTCTGCTACATAGACTATCACACCACATTTATACGACATCAGCTAATTACAATATAAACAGTCCGGCATCATCTTTCTTGGAGGGGATAATTGGTGGGGCATCGTGGGACGTTGCAGGACAGGGTCTTCAATCGTTGGTTAAGAACCAGGCCAGGAAGACACATTTTGCCTGGCAAGCTGGGTCTTGATAGTCCAAGCATCGGTACCTGCCGATATGTATGATATTGCGAGCTAGGGCAAGTTAGGCCCGACCAATTCCGCCAGACAATAACAAATTTCAGAGAGTATTACGAAAGGAAAGTGAAAAAAAAAGTAGTTCGGCCCACCGGAGGGTTATACACTGAGTAGGCTTGAGTAGAATGCGACAAACTCCCCTGTTTGTTAAGCTAACCATAGCTCTCCTTAGTCAATACCGGCTGGGGGGTGGTCATGTAAGCAATGCTCTCGGAGACTTTAAGTTTTTTTTTTTTGCGCTTGGTTGGGCTTATAAGACACCGCCCTCTGCTCCCAATTGTCCCCCCATCAGCTCGCACTTTCTCCCCCCTAACAATTTCCTATCATTCTTCCCTTCGGATCAGATTTTCATAACGCATCTCTTCTGCCTGCTGCCTGGCTCCAGATTCTAATCATCTCCCCATTCCAGGTACCTAGTACATACCCCCGATATCCTCCCCATATCTATCGTCGGCACCATATCAATAAACCTACCCCTGCCTCCAACCCAATCTCAACTCGCTCGCTATGGCCAACAACAACGAGGAAAATGATAACGATGAAAACGTTGGCATTGGTGAGTTCCTATTTTGATCCCTTCATCATTTACACATATTTGATTTCTAACTATGTTACACTACCGATTGACCAACTCAGACACACCCGGCGCCCCCAAGGAATCCCAAGACAAGTCGGGCGAGGAGAAGAAAAAGGCGCCAAATTATACTGAGCCGGAGGACTACGAGTTGTGTCGAGCCTGGGTTCAGGTCTCCGAAGACCCCGCCGTCGGGACGAATCAAGAGGGGAGTACCTTTTGGCAACGCGTCTGGACAGTCTATCGTGAAGCAGTACCTTCGCCAAAACGACCAGTAGCCAGCTTGAAGAAACGGTGGAGCAACAATTTGCAGCCCGCTATCAACAAATTCCGCGGTATCGTTCACCAAGTCGAGGGGCTCAACGAGAGTGGGGCATCGGTAGAGGATCAGCTCAACCGAGCTCTTCGGCTGTACACCCAAGACCAGGAGACACACTTCAAGCACCTCAGATGCTATAATCTACTTGTTAAGAGTCCGAAATGGAACTCCTACTGCCGCGATAGTAATCAAAAGGAGACCGGGAAGAAAAAGCGAGCCCGAAGTCCTAGTAGCGAAGCACCTCAATCACAACTTGCGTCCACACCGGCACCATCCGATCCCGTCTCTGAATTTGAAGGCACTGGGTCGACTCCATCAATACTAGAGCGACCGATTGGAAAAAAAAAAGCGAAGATGATCAACCAACTTGCTGCCAAAGATCAAACCTGGAAAGATGAAGTTACAGCTGCTCACAAACAGATTGCCATGGAATCCAAACGACTAAACAACATCTTTGCCCACGATTCGACCTCCATCGATCGCATCTCGGCGCATGGGACGACCGCTTCCGAGCTCGCCATCATGACTACAGATCTTAAAGGTCTTGATGACGAGCAGAAGGAATACTTTAAGCTTAAAAGGGCTTCTATTCTCCAATCACTCCGTAATGAACAGAACTCCAGTAACAATTAGGCTTCCTTTTCTTTTTTTTACCTCCTCATTTGGAACCGATCTGTCGACTGGCTTTTTTTTCCTTCTTCATATGAAACTGATTGACTCTTAACGCCTCCATTGAAACAAATCTCTCACTGTTTTTCATGTTCATCTCTTAGGACAACCAATCAGTTGTATTTTCTCTTTATCTCATATGACTCGCGCGACCAAATTTTGAATACTATTCAGATGAATTGCAATCAAACCCAGTGAGCTGGTTACTTTGAATTTCATTTCCGTCGAGCACAAATAAAAAATTTAAGTAATTAAGAACAAGAACATGTGAGCTCAGAATCTGGTTGGAGTCGTAGTAAATTTAATTGTCATCATCATCTTGTCGACCTTTGATCTCCCATTGGTGCTTGATGATGTCATTGCGCAACTGAAAATGAGTAGCCGAGTCTCTCATTGATTGGAAATTATCGATGAAGTCGGCAAAAGAGATCGAGGACCCATCTCGCAAGACCTCAACTGGTGTGATGATGGCACCAGCGGGGGCATCGTCGTAGGCATAGTCTAGATATGCCCCTCGTTCGTCCTCCACAATCATATTGTGGAGGATGATGCATGTCTTCATTATACTCTTGAGGTTATGATGCTGTAAGAGTCACGTCTTGACTCTTCACTGTCGTATCTTAATTTACTTCGAGACAGGCAACACGCCTGGGGAGAACTTTTCTAGAACCTGAATGTGTCTGAATTTCAAGGAGCTAGCTCGGTAGAAGAAAAAGGCCGAAGTTCTCTCAGTACAATTGATAATAAAAAAGAAGGAAAAGAAGAACATGATCATAAAAATGAAAAAGAAGAAGAAGTCAAAAATGGGTTTTTACTCACCTAGCTCGGTAGAAGAAAAAGGCCGAAGTTCTCTACCGAGCTAGGCAGGGGTGGAGTAGGATGGTTTATAAGAGTAGATTGAGTTGGGGTGATTATGTAAGCTTCTGTGATTGATGTGTGAAACCTGTGTGTGGCGAGGTTTCACATTCTCCCCCCCTATAATGCGAATGAAGACGCAGCGAAATGAGGAAACAAAAGATAGCAGAAGGAAATGATTGGAAAGACGAGGAAAGAAAAAGAAAAAGAAAAAAAAAAAGGAAGTATTAAAATTAAATGAAAAGGAGATGAAAAGTGGAAAAGGGGCCAAGTGTCAGAATTGAGTGGGGAGGAGAATAAGAGGAAGGAAGAGAAGAGAGAGGCAGGAGAGGTTGTCGGGGCTCGTGAGTACCGTGTGTGAGGATGTTGATGTGATTGAAAGAGTATGCAGAGGCATTGGTTGTTGTCAAGGGTAAAATCCATCGGATGTAGGGGGTCCTATGCCGCAGAACACAAGTGCTCACGACGTGGCCAAGGTGATGTCTCACAACTTGTACGTAGAGATACACGGAGGTGCATCAG